GGGGGGGGGGGGGGGGGGGGGGGGAACGGGACACGACGATTTAATTCAAGCAGCTCCAAGAGCCACTCTAATTACAGCACGTGCAGCATCGCATGTATCAGTGTCCCCGTGCTTCAAAATGGTGGTGGGGGTTGCTTTAACTAAAGCTTATTCAATGAGTTTTTGTTAAAGCGCCCCCACCACCATTGTGAAGCACAAGGACTCTGATACACGAGGTTCGGAGGATGGCTAGTGTGCTAATTAGCACACAGCAGCAGCACAATTACTTGAGTCTGCTCTGGTATGCTGTAATTACAGTACGTCAGAGCAGCCTCTGGGCATGTCTGTGGGCACCAGATGTTCAGAACAACTCAGCACTTGACGTGCTGATCACTTCTGGAAAGCTGTCCTTTCAGGCATTCTTCACAAATGCTGAAATTTCATGTTGAAATATATTATTTCAAGAATATATTTAATATTACTGAAATATTGAAACCAAATAGGGTAAATGTTCAAAATGACATCAGATGCTTCAACCCAGCTCATTTTAGCTCACAAATGAAGGATTTCAGGTCAATCTATGCCACGATAAAAAATGCTCTGAGACTCTATAACTGTGTATAAGAAGGGACAGCCAACCCTGGTAGGGGCTTTCAGCTGTGGGACCTTCTGATGATGAGAATCCCACTGAGAGCTTAAAAGCCCAGAGGAGAGAGCTGAGAGGAGGCAAACTGTGAGGGAACAGTCTGCAAGAAAAAAGGAAGCAGGCTGAAGAGCTTGTTGAATACAGGGGCCAGGCTGTTGTACTAGGGCCAGAGCCAAAGAATTCCTCTCCTAGTGTCTGGGACAGGGAAGAAGGGTTCTGTTTTATTTATTTGTTGCTTGTTTGGAACTTTAAAGACTGTGTTTTATTTCAGAGGACTGGTTGAGGAGCTCCTCTGGGAGCAAAACCCACCTGCAGAAGTCAACAGGCTAGGCAACCCACTTACATCATGTCACCTTCCGAGTCTCTTAAAACATGATTTCACCTTGTATGTAGATATTACTGAATGATACATTAGCTATGCCCCTAAAACATTCTACAGCCCCACCCTTTCCAAGGCAGGCATACACAAAAAGGATATGACTGATGCACCATTAAGACCTGTCAATACTAGACAGTAAAATCTTAAGTGTTTCATAAGCATGCTCCTCTGACAGTTTAACTATAACAGAGATAGGTCTAGAGGAAATCTATGCGCATTTTTAGATTGATCTTTTATAACTTCTTTTCTTCTATTTATAAATTTAACTGTCCATGCTGTGAAAAAGGCTGGTAAGGAGGGCCGCTGTAGGAATGTAGTGTTCTAATATTAAAATGCAAATAGGCTGCATTCTTTTTTTTGTATCTTATATGGTACTTTTTACAAAAAAATCCTTGTGCCCTTTACAAAAGTGATTAACTTGCCCAGGGTAACACAGAAGTCCTCTGGCAGAATCAGGAACAAATCAGATTTCTTTGTTCTCAGTTCTGGGCTTTTCAGCATTACACAATGAAGCTTCCCCAATCAGATAATGATTTTGAACAAATATTAGGGAAAGAGCTATTGTACAGATATCACAGATCTTTAAACAGAGATATAAAAACCATTTTGAAGACATGAGGTGCCAGAATGAATTATGGCATGAATGAAGTTCTTGAAAACCTTATTATAATAAACACTAGCCAAGGAGCTTCCCCATTCAGAAGCTGTTTGTGCAGGAAGCATTCCTAGTGTTCCATGTCTGCTTGGCCACCTCTAGAAAACCTATGATGCAAATGTATTTGGACAAAGGGATGTAAATACAAGTGATCTTTAAGATAAACATAAAAAGCCTTCAAAAAATGAACAATAACAATTTGCCACAATGAACGGTCCAGCTTAAACAGCTCCCACCCCTACTTACACAAAGCCTCGGAATCTACTGAGGTCATTGCTGGGACTTTCGCACTCTATTCTACTTGAAAATTTTTCTGGATCAATTTCAGAGACCTGGAGTCACAGAAAAGAACATAAAACTCAGGTCAGGAGTATAGCAACTTAAAAACAATGAATTCATAGATACAGGCATTGGTGTTTCACAATCCAGCTTCAAACCTTTCAGTTGTCCATACTGGCAAGCACTGAAACCTGGAATAAAAGCAGGCATTTTTCTAAATTAGAATGAGAAGTGAAGGAAAAGACTGCCCATACAAAATAAAGCCGTGGAAAGTTTCAGTTACATTGCTGATCCTTCATGGACATCTTTGAGAAGGGAGGGAGAGAAGGAAGGAAGGATATTAGAAGAGGAATAAGCACTGAGGGAATAAGTGGACTCTTAAAAAGCAAAGGTCTTATTTTCGTATGCATTTCTTTAGTGATGGATGAAAGTGAAATGGAAAATGCTATATAAATAGAATTGTTTTTAAACTAAATGGTTTCTGATATTACATCTAGGATGCAGGCTGAGCTAACAGAAGGAAAATTTAATGATAAAATTTCTAGGTATGATTAGGTTTAATTAGTGCCAGAGTAATGATCTTCACGAAAAACAGAAGTACAAGTAATGAATTAAAAGTAGAACTTTTAAGAATAAAAAAAATAAAAGGGTGTGTTCAGCAAATACCCTAAATGATAAGGAATAAAAGCTGGCAAATACTAAGGAAAAACATATTGGATCTGATTTTCAGAAGTACCAAACACCCATAATTCCACTTGAAGTTAATGGATATGTGAACCCTCAGCACTCCTGAAAATCTGGCCCACTAACAGAACAACTTCTATACAGATTGCCTCTCTCACAAGTTCTCTAAAAAGTCCACTGCTCTTAAAAAAAAAGAGAGGTAATTAGCCTTTTCAAAGAAAGATGCAATTAGCCTTGTTAGTCTGAACTGCCTTCTGCCTTGAAAGAAAGATTTGAATGTCTATACAGGAAGTACAAGTTTACAATTCAAAGTATTCATTAAAAATGCCTTTCATAATGAAAGCTTTCAAACATGTTTGAATTCTCACAATTATTTTTTACCACATCAGAAGGAGGCCAAGCTTGAAGTTAACATATAAATCCATAACGTGTCGAAGTCAGAAATCTCAGCATTACTGTGTTTGCACAAACCTTGGCAGCCTGCTGGGGATTTTTTGACAGATTGTGTGCACTGTATTACTGTCAGAGGTGCCTTCAGACTCCGATATATGCCTCCGGTCATATTACAAACTGAAATAATTACACGCATAGGGCCTGCTTCTCCACAGACCTGCCCCTTGCTTACTTATGCAAAATTAGTGCAAAGTATCCTGTAAAACAGGGATATCAAATATATGGCCCATGACCTGTAGCCAGCCCACAAAGCCCCCGGTGCTGCCCTGTTGACCCACTACCTGTGTCAGACTGGTCCTAGCCACCTGTGCTGCTTGCTGGAACTGGGCTCCAGGCTGCACTGCCCATGGCGATGGGGCCAGTCCCAGTTCTGGGCTGCATAACCCATGGCACCCACTGGGTATAGACAGCATCTTGGTCCCAAGTTGTACTGCCCACGGCACATGGTTGAGCTGGCATCTAGGACAAGTGGGTTCCACATGTGCTGGATCACGCATCTGGATGGAGTTCCATGAACCTCATTCAGCCCATGAACCAGCCCCATGCCACTCATTTGGCCCACAAGACCAGATGGTTTTGACACCCCTGCTGTAAAATGCTATTATGCTGATCCTGCAGTGTTTTATCCATACTTTGTACAAGTATAAGTGATTACATAATGAATGGGGCAGTATATCTACAAACTGGAAATAAAATAACTATATCAATTTTGGTTCAAACCTGTAGTTATTATCAAACTTGTAGTTATTTTGGTGAAAGTCTGAACACTGTTTAAGAGTGCCTTAGTTTGGGTTAACTACAAAAACAAACAGTTACTTACTCTATAGCAACTGTGGATGTTGGAGGACATGCTGTCTGTGAGGATCTCAATGTAGGTGTACATGTGCATCATTCATGTGAGATTAGAGTCTTCTGAATGGCAGTGTCCATCAGAGCTATACATGCCCCTTGTGACTCCATAAGTATAAGGCCTAAAGGTCAGGGAAGCCACAAATCTCCCTTGGTTTCCTTTTAACTTGAAATCCATGTTGCTGAGAACTGCAAGAATCAGGGGTCATGGGATGCACATGGAGTGCAGCACCTAGAAAAACCATATTTATTGTAGGGCAACTAATTTCTCTTTCTACTTGAGTTGGTATCAGTGTAGATCCCACTATGTCCCCTCTGAGTGAGTATGAGTTGTCAGTTCCATTAATCAGAGTGAGCCGGATGTGCTGTTCTCAGCTTGACATCACATCGGGTGACCACGTCAAGGAGTAATGTAAACAAAGTCAGTATGCCATGTAGTCGCTTTACTGGTATCAAATATGGACACATTTCCGAAGCAGGCGAAAGACACTGCATGCAACCAATTTAGTGTACCTTTATATTTTGAGGGAAAAATTTGTTAATAACAGGAGGAGATGCATCAATTTATCCACTTAAGAGTTCCTATGATGGCTCAGCTTGTCTTCTCAGCAAGATATAGCTAAGTGATCAGGGGCCAGACTGAAAAAGGACATGACAGAGGCTAAAGCATTTGGTCTTCCCTACATAATGGAGGAAAACTCTGAGAACGTCCACAATATATAGCAGTCATTCTCAACCTTTTTAGTTTGGAGGCACATTTGGATAAACTCAAGGCACTCCTTGGAAAATGCCAGTTCTTAGTTTTCGTTCTTTTTTTGCCTACATAAAAATAATAGAGCAGTTTTTCTACTGCAAATAACTTAGAAAGGCCAGAACTATAAATTTCTATTTGAAACCTGTGGGTTTATCTTGAATCATGCTTGAAAACCTAACAATGCTAACACCGTGTAGCACTGTGGTAAGAATTGCTGGTATATAGTCTCTCTTTCATTGTACTGAGTGTGGCTTTGTTTGAACTCGGAGACCACCTTAGAGATAAATTTAGGATGCGGTCTCAGACCTCCTTTTCCGTGTAATTATGTGTAGGAAGGCCCAGACACAGGGGTCTGTTGCCAAGTTGAAGGGGCTGAGGCCAAACTGCAGAAGTGTGGGTAAGCAGAAGGCTCCAAAACCTGTTTCTGAGTGACAGTGGAGTGAACATTTGCAGATGTGACAATCAGCTTGATCAGCAAAGTAAAGAATGCAATCAACATATCCAGCTAAAACAAGTGATGAAACCGAGCACAAGGCCTTAAAGGAACATTATAAAGGAAGACCATGCATTAAATAACCCAAATATCCTATATGATAGCTTAGCTTATAGTAGTTGATGTAACCACGTCTTAGCTGCTGTTTTGCCATAATAGAGCTATTTTAGTTAAGATTCTTAAGTTGTAAAAACAAAGCAGCCTTGTTTACAGAAGACGGTAAATTTTGGAGAAGAGAAAAAACAGATGATGGTAAGTAATATTTCATAATGGTGAAGGAAGGAGATAAGGAATCCTTCCTTCCAGAAATGTAATCTTCACAGGCACATCCCAACTAAATTGCAACTAATAGACATCTTTCATGTCCACAAGAAAACTGTCTCAGTCCTATTCCAAAGGTTTCAGTGAAACAAAGAATTTTAAATAAAACCTATCAGAGAACATTAGTAGAATATTAAGATGAACCTCTATAAATTTAAGGTATAGGCTGGAGGGAAATTTCAACCCAGTAAATTCAAGAAGACCTGTTGCCAGTCTGCCTACCACCCTGCTCCCCTGCCTGAGTCTCCCCAGCTGGTATAGGTAAGAAATTATGTTGTGTGTCACAGGTAGCTATCTGGATGGAGATAAGTGTTTGTGTTTTGAGGCACAAGCAATAAAGTCAGGCTGTAGACCTGTTTCTTGCCTCTTTTACCAGTAGCCACCTGCAAACCTACCTGTAATTTAGGTAACAGCTGACCTCCTGCACAGTGGTGATGGCAGACCAGAAAGACCATCATAAGGGGA